GCTTTTATTTCCTTTGCTTTAGGAGACAGATCCCCAAAAATATTGCTACAATTTATATCAAAGAGTGTTCTGCATGTTTTCCTCGTATATTTAGGTCTTTAATCCATTTTGAGTTTATTTTTGTGTATGGTGTTCTAATTTCATTCTTTTACATGTAGCTATCCAGATTTCCCAGCACCACTTATTGAAGAGACTGTCTCTTCTCCATTGAATATTCTTGTCTCCTTTGTCGTAGATTAAATGACCATAAGTGCATGGGTTTATTTCTGGGCTCTCTATTCTGTTCCATTGAGCTATGTGTCTGTTTCTGTGCCAGTATCATACTGTTTTGATTACTGTAGCTTTAGTAGTATACTGTAGTATAGTCTGAAGTCAGGGAGTGTAATACCTCCAGCTCTATTCTTCTTTCTCAAGATTGTTTTGGCTATTTGGGGTCTTTCGTGTTTCTATACAAATTGTGGGATTATTTCTTCTTGTTCTGAGAAAAATACTCTTGGTATTTTTTTTTAATTTATTTTTTTTGGCGGTACCTGCGCCTCTCACTGTTGTGGCCTCTCCTGTTGTGGAGCACAGGCTCCGGACGCGCAGGCTCAGCGGCCACGGCTCATGGGCCCAGCTGCTCCGCGGCATGTGGGATCTTCCCGGACCGGGACACGAACCCATGTCCCCTGGATCGGCAGGCGGACTCTCAACCACTGCACCACCAGGGAAGCCCTGTGCTTGGTATTTTGATATGGATTAGATTGAATCTGTAGATTTCCTTGAATAGTATGGTCATTTTAACAATATTATTATTCTAATCCACAAACACAGTATATCTTTCTATCTGTTTGTGACATCTTCAATTTCTTTCATCAGGGTCTTTCTGAGTACAGATATTTTACCTCCTTAGGTAGGTTTATTCCTAGGTACTTTATTCTTTTCGATGCGATTGTAAATGGGTTTGTTTTCTTAATTTCTCTTTCTGATAGTTCATTATTAGTGTATAGAAATGCAACATATTTCCGTATATTAATTTTGTATCCTAGCACATGTATGTTTTGTGCTGTTTTGGAAAGTAAAAAATTTCTTTAAAGTGCCTGGGATGCAGCAGTATTGAGAGTATAAGAGGCCGAATAAAATATTCAGAGCTTTGTGTCTGAAATTCCCCATCTGGGTGGAGGGCACTTGGCTGGGATAACGTGAGGGTGGGGTTTGCCAGCCTGGGTGCTCCACTGGGGCTGGCAGGGTCTTTGCTGTCATCAAAGTCCTGGGAGCTGGAGGCCCCACGGCTAGTCCAAGATGGATCAGGATTTGAACATAAGTCTCTTTGCAAAGCCCATACTCTTGTTTATAGGGGAGTAACTCTCACGCTGTCTCACTGACTAACCATAATGCAGAGGGAGTCTTATCACATAGCAGCAGCACAGAGTAATGTGGGATGCAGAGGAGAAAGGCATGAGCTCTGTCAGGGGATGGCTGCAGAGAAGAGATAGTGAATATCTGCAGGTCCCCATCCGTCCATGGACAGTGGCTGTCTGCTGCTTCCTGGGGTCTTTAGAACCAATTCCCAAAGAAGAACTTAGTACTTACCCGGGCCTGATACTCAGGGCAGGAGTCCCGAAAATGTGTGTGCAAGTATTTATTTCCTTGAAACCTTGAGACCATCAGGAGAGGGAAGGTTGATAAACAGAGGAGGAAGAAGAAGACAGTGTCCAGTGGAGTCCTGGGTGCTGCCTGCTGGGCCCAGCAATGCCACACCAGGTGAGGAGAGGGTGAGGGCTCCCAGTCTGGGTAGAACTTTTCAGAATGGCTCATTTGCTGTCTTATTTTTATGAGTGGACGTGTGTTGAAAAAAGTTCTTCACTTGGTATATTACAGACATTTTGCATGTCTAAATATAGATCTGCATAACCATTAAAGAGCCGCAGAGCATCCCAGCCTATGAACTTAGCACAATTAATTGAGCCAGTCCACTAGAGAAAGGCATGCAGATTGTTTCCTGTTTTCATTAATAGAAATAATGCTGTAATAAACATTTCCATTTTTAACCACAGATCTTTGCTAAATTTATTATTCTTTAGGATAACTATCTTGTGGTGACCTTGCTGGGTCAGAGGATACAATAAGTCATATCTTAACTCTTCTGCGTAGAAAATGTGTACCTGTGTGCATTTGCACCCACCACACATGGCATTTGTGTCTCCATCTGCTCTTGTTAACCGTGGTCACTATCATTCTTTTCATTTGTATATTTACATATTTGACATGCAGAAATTAACTTGTCATTGTTTTCATGTTTATTTATTCATTCATTTCATTTATTACAACTGGTGAGATCCAATAGCTTTTTACATTTTTCTATCTGTAGTGCTTCTTATGTGAATTGATGTTTAGCATCCATTGCCTGTTTTCTATTGGGATATTTGTGGGATTTCTTTCTGTCATTGATATTTAAGTACTTTGCACTTAGAAAATACTGTACTTCTATGTCATCCCTCTCCTGACTGTCCTGCCTTTTGCTTTGTTAGTGTGTGATATTTGTCACGCCAGAGTTTTAAGTTTTTATGTAGGAAAAGCTATCACATTTTCCCTGGCTTTGGCATTTTATATGTATATATATATATACACAGACACACACATATATATACACATCTTAAAACGTGTACCTTAATATATTTATATATATACATATTCTGTATGTATTTAATCTCAAAACCAAAAATCCATCTCTACCCTCAAGCTTATAAAATATATTCTCCCCTTTTTTAGAATATTTTTCTTTTTCAAATTATCAATACCTTTGAAATGTGTGCTGCTGTGACAGTTGAGTGTAGTGTTCAGGGTCCTTAGTTGTACCTTTCCAAAGTACTTCTGTCTAAGGTGAGAAGGAAGCAACTTGAAGGGACAGGGGACGCGGAGCAGGTCACAGAACGAATGGGTGTGAGTTGGGGGGCACCGGCTCCGTGCCACTAGGGCGGCCACAGTTCCCCCAGGGCCACCCCCGCAGGCCTGCGAAGACACCCCTGCAGCCGGCACAGGCCCTGCCGCCACTCCACGGGGACACCCAGCTCCCCTGCTGCTGGCAGAGCCTGTGTGCTGCTGTCTTGGGCATTGGTAGGGCTGCAGCCCTGCTGCCGTCTGGCCAGAATGGGCCCTGGGGCCCTGCTGATCCCCTGCTTTGAATCCTCAAGCTTTGGATTTGGATTCCGATGGAATAAATGTGTTGGCAAGAGTCTAGGTCCCCCACCCAGGCACTAGCTGTGCGGGCCCTCTGGTGGGCGTGGGGAGGTCCTGCTGCCCCAGGGGTGGATGCCGACTGCAGCTTTTCCCAATAGGCAGTCACTTTCACTAACACCCTTCAGTAGACAACGAGTTCTTTCCCTGCTGTGCTGAAGTGTCACTGTTGTCATATGCTGAACATCGGTAATTCTGTTTTTTAAACCCAAATTAATTCTGGGTTTATTAAAAAGAGGCTGACAACCTGACTTGCAGAGCCACCATTCACTGTCTACTCATTTCTGAAAAACCGTTTTCCATGAGACCTAATTACACTTTATTTGATGCAACTTAATTACGGGAAAACATTTTACACATATGTGAAACATCTACCCAATCCTGACCGACTAGAGCATTGGGGGACACAGGAGTTTAGATGTTAGTGTTGAAAAGATGGTAAACCATTCACATAAGACAAAGAAAGCCCTTTTAGTGAAGTAAGAGAGTACTTCATGTCTCACAGTTGCTCAGAGCATCTTCTTCTCCTCCAGGAGGCCTCTTCCCTTTGCTCAGCCATATTCTTGATATTATTCCTCAGTGAGGTTGACTGACTTCTTGCGTGAGCCGAGCTTCCGCCACAGATCCGGTTACTTCTTTCACTAACTCACTCTTTAGCCAGAGGGAACTCTGATGAAAAAGTTCTGTATTGGTTTCCTGCATGGTTTGTTGCTTATTATTATTTCAAGCCTGATTGTATCAGAATGGCAATGCCTGTGCAGATATGCTTGCTGTTATGAAGGAACGGAGCAGATCCCCCTCTGGTCCCAGCAGAGGTACGTTTGTTTCGAAATCTTTGAAGGGATCCTGGTTTCCATTCAGAGCTGCTCTCTGGGCTGCATGAGATCAGTAAACCACCTTCATTTTTTAGGTAAGCAGCACCTTTAAGCCCAAACTATTAGGTGGGTCTGGAGTGAAGGAAGGGAGTGAGCAAAGATGTAAGATGTAAGACAGGAAGAAACAGCAGAGTTCAAGTGTATCTGGCCTCGTAAGTCGGTAAGAAGTTGGATATTCTTTTGAGGATGGTGAGGCCTTGAAGAGAGTGACACAAGTCAAGCAGGTGTTTTAGGAAGCTTCCTCTGTCCCACAATTAAGTGCTCAGAAGATATTTGTGTGATGCAAGGCAGCACTTCAAGGTCTTTTGCATGCTTTCAGGCATACACAGTGTGCAGAAGAGGCCAGCCCGAGTGTGTGACCTGTCGTTCAGTGTTTGGGGCAGGTTAGCCCCCAGCAAGTGGCTTCTCTTCTGTCAGATGCCATCTTTTCTCCCCAGTATTTCCACGAATTGCATGAACTCAACTTCAGCCACAGCCCTTCATGGTGGTTTAACCTCCATTCCCTAGTACATCAAAAGGATGAGTAAAACTAACTCTGCTGTCCTCTGGAACAACCTAGAAACTATTTCATGTCTGGGACAAAGAAGCTGATAGACTTGCGGGGACAGTTCTTAGGAAACCACCAACTTTGTGTGCTTTTTGTGTCAGAGAATCAGAGAGTCAGAAAACAACACCGAAAAGAGTATCTAGGAGGTAGGATTCAAATGCCCTGAGATATGGGCAGAGATAAGCTTCCTGCACTTCAGAGACTTCTGACTCTGAAGTGCTTTGATTGGCAGGAAAGCAGATGGGGAAGAAAAGGCAAAGTAACCAATTTCAAGTTTTTTGTGTGTAGTTTCAGTTCAGAGTTAGAACATTCACAGTGAAAGTATATCCTTTCAGACTGTAGAAGCTTAGGTGGGGCAAAGAGAAGGACAGAAGTATATCTGAGTTGGGAATGAGTCTGAGAAGCTAAAACGGTAAAGATGCTTCCAGAAGCAGGGACACTTCTTGACTGGTTTTAATCCTCCTTAGTGAAATATTAGTGATTTACTTCAGCTCCAACCTGAGGGAGCTCTGGTGGAGAGGGCATAGGACGAACGCCCCCAGCTGCTCCCAAGATGCAAACTAGGGGATGAGAACAGCCGGGGAGATGGCCTTGACCAAAAGGGGGTGAGGCCAAGAGGCCATGGTAAACAGGAAGCCCTTAACCAAGACACATACTGGGAAAGAAGAGTCAGAGTGAGCAGGGCGCTCACATCTCAAGGTCAGTAACCTTCTAGAAAAAAGACTGGGTGTGACCACGTTCACACTTTTAAAATTATTAGTGGGCAGGGAGTCGGGCTGTGGATACAGGAGGATGACCAGTAGGGAAAGCAGGAGGAGAGCTGCGGGGAAAAGCTTTAATTAATTCGCGGAATGGTTGATCTCTGTGAACCTGTACGTTTACTGATGGGCATACTGTAGTAAAAGGGTGTTGCATAAAGTCCTTTTTCTCAGTCTGTTCCTGGGAAAATCTGGTAGTTTGGGTCTTGAGAATAAGAAAATTTAGCTCTTTTACCAGTGTCGGGCTATCAGGCTTAAACTACCTTCCTTCAAGTAAGCCTGAGCAGGGATGAACTTCAATAATAAAGGTTCGCTCTCCAGGTATAAATAACCCTAAGCAAGGGCTGGTGAACTTTTCTGCAAAGGGCCAGAAAGCTAATACTTGTGGCTCTGCAGGCCACGCGGTCCCTGCCGCAGCTACTCCTAGTGGCACGGAAACAGCCGTAGACACGTAGACAGACGGGCATGTCTGAGTTCCAGCCAAACTATTTCCAGCAATGGGACAGTGGGCTGGCTTTTTCTGGAGGATCCCCCTGAGGCTGAACTAAAATCTCTGCTTTGAATGGAAGTAAGTTTTTATGGCCCCTCAGCGGCAGTGGAACCTGTCCTGGGGGCAGGTCTGTGACTCGCCACAGGCCCTGGTTGGAAAGATTCTCTTAAGAAGATACTGTGAGGCAGGGAGTGGAAACCTGGACCACCTGCACCCACTGGAAGCAGGAGCCTCTGAGCAGCCCAGACCTCCCAGCCACGGGCACCATCAGGCCTGCCTCTAATCACAAGGGAGGGGACTAAGGACCACACAGCTGTGACCCTTCCAGCCCAGCGGCTTGTTCTCAGGGCTTAGCCCAGGTTTTCTCTTTCACAGGCCTCGGGTCCCCAGCATGTGGACAGTTGTCCAAGCTGGGGAGGAAAGATGTGGGAGCAGGAACGGGCTCCCAGACACAGCAGGAGTCTCAGTGCGGGCTGGGGAATGCTGGCTTGGGGAACCGAGTGGAGACTAGGATCCTCCGAGTTTCAGAAAGGGCCCCGGCATCTGGGAAAGCAGAACATCTCAGAGAGCAGAGCAGTGTGTCTGAGGAGGTGGGGAAGGTCTGCAAGGACAGCCAGCAGAGGAAGCAGCAGGTCTGAAGAGGGGCACCCAGCCCAGGCCACCTAGGGGCACCCAACCCAGATGAACTTGTGAGCAAAGTCACTTCTGAGGTTTGCTGAGACGTATTAACAGTAGAGAAATCCAGGAATATCTTGATTAATGGCATCCTTGAGGATGAAGCTCTTTTATACAGACAGCTCTAATAGAAAAAAAACCTTGAGCCAAAATCCCTTCATAAATCATGCAAAAAATGTCTGCCTACACAACAAAAATAGCTCCGGGCCAGTCTCTGTTTGCCTTTGGTTAGACGTTGATAAATAGGGCTCATCCTTAGCAAAGTTGTAACAGCTGAACTTTATCTTCAGTCCAGTGTCTTTCTGCACCTTTCGTTCACATCCGAGGCCTCTAGGTCCTTTGAGTTTAGACATATCAGAATGCAAGTGCCCTTCTGCTTTCTTCATCCTTTAGCTACGCTGACTTCGGTGCCTTGCGAATGAAGGGGTTGCTACTAGTTATTATCAATGAGCACCTGTTTTCCAGTAATCCTCCCACATTCCTGAGTCCTCACTCCCAGTGCGGGGGCAGGCATTCACTGAGGGTCTTTCTGTCTTTCTGACGTGAAATATAATTTCCTTGACTCTGATTGGATCTACTCAGTCCATGCTTGGCTTCTCCACCTCCAGCCCCCGAATTAGTCATAGTTGTCGGTGGAATAGCTCAGATTTGTCATAATATCCCGGTGGTGTGGGAGAAATGGATGCCCAAACCAAAACAGGTTTTTGTTAGGAGTGAGGAGAGGGAAATGGGTGATGCTCAGCTCTCTTTCTAAGAATTTAAATCAGGTCATGTAATTCTGGTGCCTAAAAGCCTCCAACAGCTTCCACTTGCTCTTAGAATTGTATCAGAAAATCTTCATCCTATCTATCTACACAGTCTAATCTCTTGTCATTGTCTGTCCGCATCTCCTCTCAATGGCTCCAGCTACAATGATTTTTAAAAACAAGTTCCTCCTAGAGCTGTTATTGTTTATGCCATAGACACATGTCCCAGGAATCGTGCTTGGTGCTGGAATGACAGATGTAAGCAAGATGTCAAGTTTGGGGGCTTCCCTGGTGGTGCAGTGGTTAAGAGTCTGTCTGCCGATGCAGGGGACACGGGTTCATGCCCCGGTCCGGGAAGATCCCACATGCTGCGGAGCGGCTGGGCCCGTGAGCCATGGCCGCTGAGCCTGCGCGTCCGGAGCCTGTGCTCCGCAACGGGAGAGGCCACAACAGTGAGAGGCCCGCGTACCGCAAAAAAAAAAGGATGTCAAGTTTGAACACCCTTATGGATGTCATTCAAGACAATTTCAAACAAGACCCAATTTCATTTTTGACCCAATTTCATTTTTGTCCCCTCCCACCCACTAGATGGTAATCACATCATTTCCTGAAAATGCCCCGTGTTTTTGCACCTTTATCTCCTCTTCTTATTTGTCTACTTGGAAAGTCTAATTCAGGTTGGAAGGCCCAGGATGTGGTACACTTGTTTTTATTTTGTTTTTACAAAATCTTCCCCAAATCTGTTAGAATGAATTGTTCCTCTCTGGGATGTTGTAAAACTTGATCAAAGAAATGATCTAGTTTTATTATAATGAATTGCTCCTTTAATCTATCTGACCCAATACGTTATGCATGACTAGAGGGCAGAGACTGTGTCTTTCTCATGCTTGTGTCTCCAGGACCTAAGCAGGGTACCTGGTAGAGCTCAGTAAAATTTTCATCAAATTGCTTCATTAAATTACTTACAAGACAGAGATGAGAGTTACTTCATCTGACTATATCACAGAGCTGTTATAGGCACAGATAATATAGATGTGAAAGGTTTTGGAAAATAGAATGTTCTGTAACCATAAGGCAGCACTGTATGTTATTATATGGACACATTATAATTTTGTTCTGATTATCATTACATTTTTTATTTCATATTTGATTTCATGTTTCCTGAGAAAGTTCCCACATTAGATACTGATGTTAAGGAGAAGACACCTGCTGGTGAACTTTTGGATGGAATCACATAAGCTCAGAGTCAGCATTAGGCAAACTTGTCTTTAGTGGTGCCTGCTCCCCCTTTTCTCAATTTTTACCCCCCTTTTATTTTGAACCTCTCATCAGGGGTCAAATGCATTCTTACATTGTTGCCTCTTGTTACAGAGGCAATAATATATTTTTATGCTGACGTGGTTATACATTCCCAGCAAGTTCTTAGGAAACTGAACTTTTATTTTATAAGAGAGGGAAGGGAGCAATGACGTACCTACTAAGATTATATAAGACAGAACCATGGGGGAAATTAGGTGAAGGGTACACAGATCCTCTCTGCACTATTTCTGCAAATTCCTGTGACTGTACAATTATTTCAAAATAAAAAGTTTAAAAAAATCAACGATAATGGTGGATTTGTATATTCCCTGAGCCACGATACTTTGGAATCTGGAGGCCCTTCAGCGGTCCCTTCATCACCCCCTAAGCAAATGCCTGAGGTCAGCGAAGAGGCAGAGGGGACAAGAAGGCCATGCCCCGTGGGCCGTCCATGCTGGTGGAGCTGCAGGCCCCTTCCTGTGCCCTGTAGACTCTGCCCCAATCTCACATTCTCAGTGCAGACTTCCCAGCGCTCCTATCCAGGGGGGAACACTACCACACCATCCCGGTCCTGCTTTGTTTTTCTTCATGCACTTACCACCTAACTCTATTTTGTCCTTCTCTATTTTATTTTCTGCCTCCTCGCACTAGAATGTAAGTTCCATTATGGCAAGGATATATTTTTTTAATTTATTGCTGTATCCTCATCACCTAGAGCAGAGTTGGGCCCAGAGCAGGCACTCAGAGAATGTTTGTTGGAATGAATGAATCTTTGTAGAAAATGAAAGCTTGAAAATAAGCTATTTCCCCGAGAGAGAAGTAACTCAAATCTGCCCATCTTTGTACGAGAGCAAACCTGACTTTGAAGCTAAGACCTTTTTCCTGTGTTCATACTTCAGATAAAGAAGACACTGCTGATAGGATCTGAGAGGAAGGAAACAGTGCATCGTGCTGGGGCTCTCAATGTGACATTATAAATTGTCTTTCTGTAGACTGGCCTCCCAAACAGGTTCCAGAGATGGATTACCTTACTTTCCTCTTGGCTATTCTTTATGTATACAAAGGTAAAGATAATGTCTTCATTTAAAGAATGTACTCCTTTTTTAGTCTTATAGTGTGACATGTTCAGAATTTATAATGCCCTTACTTGGCTTAGATAATTTCTCAATTGTTCAGAAAAACTACAAGTTGTAAATACCAATTATCAGCAGTGGAAACCTTTTTAGACTAAGGTAGAAACTGTTAGCCTCAGTTTACTATCTTGCTAGGTCTAGAGCAAGCTTCAGATGTCTGTTTGGTGTTTCAAGCATCAGGTCTAATTGAATTCACATGATCACATGATGGTGTGTCTTTCAGCTCCATGTGAACAGATATTTTGGGACACAACTGTTAAACTTGCTAAGAATATGGCCCTAGAATGTGTGTATCCATCAAAGGACACTTTAACCCAGATGGAGTGGTTCAAGATCAAGACACTGGAGAGAGAGTCCATAGCCATTTTCAACCCTTCTTACCATGTGATCATAAGAGAGCCGTACGTTGATAGGGTTTACTTTTCAAATTCAACCACGGCCTCTAACGATATGACCTTGTCCTTCTGTAATGCCTCTGAGGTGGACGTTGGCTTCTATTCCTGCTTTCTTCATACTTTCCCACATGGAACCTGGGAAAAGGTGATACAGGTGGTTCCATCAGGTAAGTGAAATTTTTATTTACCTTTTTACCCATCTACAATATTTGTTTCTGTAAAGACCAAGTAGAAACTGTGAAATGCTATATCATATTTTTGTGTCATTTTCCAATTCCATTTCTAGATTCTATATTATTGTTTCAAAGAAATAATACTGTGAATGAGTTCCGTTTTTCTTAATGTGCTATCACTTCTGAGTAGAAGAAGCGTCTCATGAATTCAAATGTCATGGGAGAAGGCACAGATTTTATCTTGTCTTAATGAGAACTTGAACCTAGATTAAGCTGATGTTGGCAATGTTTGGGTTCAGGGGTCAGACACCTCCTGTGACGTAGTCCCATTTCCTTTTGCTTCCAACCCTGCTTGTTCAGAGTCCTTTCTGTAATACCAAATCTGGGTTTATTAGTGAATCCTAGGCAGAGTTCAAGCACCGACTCTGTTTTTAGCTTCATCCAAGTTTCACTAGAGAAGATGCTTCAGAAATTGCAAGCTGTCATCTCAGAAATAATCAAATGATCTCTTGAAGTATTTCCTGCCATGTCTACCAGTGATTGTAGTTTGAAGCTTAGTTAGTCCTACAAGTAATAGCCACATGGATTGGGTGTGACGTGTTGGAAAAACTTGGGTTTTATAGCCTTTACTTCCTTTATAACCTTATATTAGCTGCTCAGTCCCTCTGAATCTCAGGTTCCTGAATAGTCAATTGAGTTAATAATACCCTTCTCTTTGTTGAATGGTTTAGGGATCATATATGTATGGAACTTGGCCCATGGTAGTTGGGGAATGGTAGGTATTATTATTACTGTCACTGTTATTATTTCCTAGGCTTTTGATACAAAATGACTAGTGATGAAATTTTTAGTTGTCAGAGATAGTCTAGGGAAGGAAATAATTTGGGACTGTGTGTTTCTTGTCTGGTGTCTGTCAAATTATATCCCAAATAGACATCCAGCAGAGCACATCATATACCACCTGATATAGTGCTTTCTTTTTAAGAAATCCGTATTATAAAAGAACAATTTAAAGTACTATATAAGGAATATCTAATGGTCAGGAAGTAAGAAAAATTCCCATGTGTTAGTTTTCCCTTTCTGTTTAGGTGTAGCTAAGCTCAATAATAATTCTGTGTATATGGGCGAGGCTTACAGAGTGTCAATTAGCAAAATCTCTTTAGTTAAATACTTACTTATTACAGACTCCATTTTGAAATGCAAGATCTCATTTGCTGTTGTGTGCAGCCACCTGTTAAATGCTGTTTGCAAGTCTTCAGTGTATAGTCCACTCTGATTAGCCATGCAAGTGACGGAGAGGATGGGAAGGGTCTTAGGGGTGAGCTGTTTGACACATGGCCTGAGCCACCATGGCCAGAAATACATGCCCTTCCCCACCCTGCCTCGTGTGGTGAGCTTTTGTAGTTTGGGTCCCAAATCAGGTTATTCCGATTTCTGTAAAGAGCAACCAATTGAAAACAGGTACACCTGAAACTAACACAACATTGTAAATCAACTATACCCCAATAAAAAAAAAAGAAGGAAAAAAAGAAAACAGGTAGAACAGTGGTTACCAGGGTGGGGAGGTGGGGAACGGGGGAGATAGATGTCGGTCAGAGTACACAGTTGAAGTTATGTAGTATGAACAAGTCTAGAGACCCAATGTACAGCATGAAGACATTAATGATAGTTAATATCATTGTCTTGAACACTGGAAATTTTGCTAAGAGAGTAGATTTCAGGTGCCCTTATCACCAAAAAATGGTAACTATATGGGGAGAAGATGTGTAAATTAGCTTGACTACAGTAATCATTCCACATATCATTTTGTTGTATATGCCCTAAACATACGCAATTTTTATTAAAGGCAAAACAAAACAGAAACAGGTAGCTTGACCTCTTGTGAAGGTTTAGGATAGAGGGTAGCACTAAATTATTGAGAACTAAATTATGGTTGCCACACCAAAGTAGGATTTTTAGCATCATGTATGAATGATTTTGGCAATATTTTCTTAATTTTATCATCCAGATTTATTTCTCCTGTTACTATTTTGAGGACAGGAAAAGGGAGATCTCTGCCTCATGGGGCTTTTTCAAAAGCAGTGGTGAGATTTTCAGTCAGTCACCAAGAAGGGGGCGGCCAACTCTCCATCTAGTTCAGATTAGAATCTGATGGTATTCTTAAACATATTTTGCTGTTGTTTTTGATCATTTATATTTTTAAAGAATAGATTGCATTAACCAGCCAGTGAGAGTATTTCATTCACTTTTGAGGTTTGGAGAGGTTCATATTTTTTTAAAACTAAGAATGATAGTGAATTTATAAAATATAGTAGCTGTATTTACATTAAATATACTTAACCTTAAATATACTAAATTAACCTTAAATATACTTAAATTCTTCCATGTGTGCTTTATTAACAACATATTAGGATCTACAAATAAAATAACACATGCTTGTATAACATACAGGGGGAGTTGATGATCTAGTTAACAGTGAAAGATTGGACTTGGAATCCGGAAATCTTAATCTGTATAATAGATCGTTAAGATCTTCAAAAAGGTGAAGGAATTGAGCCACATGCTCTCTAAATATACTGGTTTCTCCTGTTCACTGAAAGCTGTTGATGTGTGAGGAACTGGATCAGTGCCTTACCCAGGTCTTCTCGTTTAACGCCCCCTGCACACTTGACTGTGGACGTAACCTTGATTTTCGAGTGAGGACACTGAAGGGAAGTAAGGTCCAGTAATCTGCTCAAGTTCTCAGACTTCGTTTGTGTCCACTGGATAGAGTTGCAATTACAGGATGGAAAGTGCCAGTTTGGGGGGCATAGGAGCCGGCGGGGGCCCTTGAATGAGGAGACATCCATCATTGCTTGTCCTTTAGGCCTCCCTCCCCCTTGAGCTTTCAGCCCAGAGTTGAAGAGCAAATTGGATGTCTTCTTCTGGATAAATGATATTGTTAATGCAAAATTATGTTAAAACATGAGTTACCTTCAGAACAGGCATTTCTTAATCAGTAACTGATTTAGAGCATTTAATGGCAAGAATGGCTGCATTTATTTCACTGCCTCGTGGAAGAATACGCTGAGGCCACTCGAGAGGTGACATTTCAAAGGTGGCCCTTTCATGGCAGAGTTTGTGGTGGAAGTGGGGTTGTGGAGAAAATTACCGTAACCCATGTGTCTCTGGCTTTACTAGTCACTTATGGCAAATGTAGTTATATTTATGGAAATGTCCCCCTAAATGTATGATGCACCCCCAAAACTCTGCTAGCTAACTCTGATTAGGTGTCTACTGTGTGTGAAGTAAATGCCTGTCCTCTCGTTTAATGCTTGTGAAACACCAGGCGGGAGATGAGCGTGCTCACATGATACAGCTGAGGAAACTGAAGTTCAGGGTCATTAACCAACTGAAGGTTGCTGAGCTGCGGCACCAGGATGACACCAGCTGGTGTTTCCAAAGAGCCAGAAATGAGAGGGAGGGGAGCTTGACACCAGCAGGGTGAACGTGAACAATTAAAAAAAAAAAAATGAAGTAGAGTTGCTGTGCAATATTATATAAGTTACGGGTGTACAATGTGGTGATTCACAATTTTTAAAGCTTATACTCCATTTATGGTCATTATTGAATATTGGCTATATTCCCTGTGTTGTACAAAATATCCTTGTAGCTTATTTAATACATAATAGTTTGTACCAGGAATTTTTTAGCATCGAGAGACTGGTGTGAGGGAAGAAGAGAAAAGGGTGTCTCCGGGGATTCTGGTGGTGTGGAGAAGGCCTGAGGAAGTTGGTTCACGCAGGGGACAGAGACTGGATGGTGTGCCTGGAGCATGGAGCTCCAGGAGGGGTAGGTCTCACCCGGGCTCCTGGGCCCCTCACCGTCTGAGAGGCAGCCTTGAGGGTGAGGAAGAAACTGTGACAGTGGGACCCTCTCTCTGCTCTTACAGCAGAGGTGCTCTGGGGCCCCAGGTAAGGTTTTATACAGTAGATCCTATGTTTAAAAAAGAAGCCGAAGCCCATGGGGCAAGAGAATGTCGGAGAAGAACTTGGAAAGATGGGATGGCCCAATGTTGCTGAGCCTAATGGGGTTGGAACTTGACCCTGCAGTGTAGACTGTGGGAAGTCTCTGAATGTTTTCAGATGGAGACATATAATGACCACTTTTTTTCACCACCTAGAAATTTAAACTAGTTGCATCCTTACAGAAGGGGAAGAGTTTAAGGGGCAGGGTGAACAACTATTATTTTATGGATTGGAACGCTTATCCACTGCTAGTAGGAGTGTAAGTTGGTGGATCTACTGTATTATTGGTATTGGTAATATTCAGAGTTCTCCAGAGAAACAGAGCCAATAGGATATGTCTGTGTATAGAAAGACATTTATCGTGAGGAATTGGCTCATGTGATCATGGAGACTGCAGTGTGGGCCAGCAGGCTGGAGACCCAGGAAAGCCAGTGATGGTGTAGATGCAGGTGGAAAGGAGGCCAGGGAGGCCAGTCTTTTTATTGTATTCAGACCTTCAGCTGATTGGATGAGGCCCACCCACATTATGTAGGCCAGTCTGCTTACTCAAAATTCACCAGTTTAAATGTTAATCTTATCCCAAACCACCCTCCAAATTAATACCTAAAATTAACCATCACATCTCTTTTGGAAAATGATATTGCATTAGCTAGTTAAAGAACCCCATTCCTAAGACCTAATCATTCTCTCTATTGTATATTCTGGGGATTGCCCACATGTAGGAGAAATGCCTGAGAATGTTTAAGGCAGCAGATCACTGTGATAGCCAACAAATGAATGACTGATCGCGAGGCTCATCAACAGGGATGAATTTGGGGAACATTGTGTGAAAGAAAAAAGCAAGTTTCAAAAAAACACACAGGGGATGATTCCTTTCCTTTAAAGTTTAGAGACATGCAACTAAACAATATGCTACTTATAGATACAAACATGTGGTAAAACTCTAAGGAAAGCAGATCTCCGAAGCACAGGCAGGAAGGAGATAGA